AAAGCAATAGGCAGAGCCAACCACACCCTGTCCTCCATCAACAGGGGCATCACTAACAGGTCCAAAGAGGTCCTGCTCCCCCTCTGTGCGGTGCTGGTCAGGCCGCAGCTGGAGTCCTGTGTCCAGTTCTGGGCACCGCGCTTCAAGAAAGACGTGGAGAACCTGGAGAGGGTCCAGAGGAGGGCCACTCATATGGTTGAGGGCCTCTGTGGCCAGCCCTATGAGGAGAGGCTGAGGGACCTGAATCTCTTCAGTCTCCGCAAGAGGAGACTGAGGGGGGATCTTGTGGCTGCCTACAACCTTATCAGGGGCCACCATCAGGGACTCGGGGAAAGTCTATTCACCAGGGCCCCCCTTGGAGTCACCAGGAACAATGGCCACAAGCTGAGGGAGGATAGGTTTAGGTTAGATATTAGGAAGAACTACTTGATTGTAAGGGTGGCCAGAGCCTGGAATAGGCTTTCCAGAGAGGTGGTGCTCTCACCTTTCCTGGAAATCTTCAAGAGGAGACTAGATAGGCACCTGGCTGGGGTCTTATGACCCCTGCCACCCCCAGTGCTCCTTCCTGCCCATGGCAGGGGGTCGGACTAGATGATCTGTCTAGGTCCCTTCCGACTCATTGATTCTATGATTCTCTGAATCCCCTCCCCTCTCAAAAGGAATACTTCCAGGGGTAAGGGGAGGGACTTCCAGTGGCAAAGTTCAGAGGTTAGGGACAGGACTTCCAGTCCCAAAGTAGCAACCTGGGGGTGGTACACCTGTCAAGGAATAGGGCTACCCTTGCGGCCTTTGACAGCTTACTAAAACTCATTAAGTGGCCCTCCAGCAGAAATAATTGCCCACCTCTGCTGTAAATTGTGCTTCTCTGAGTTAGTCTGTAAGGTGCCACAGTGCTTTTCTTTCTTCTGGATATCATTTAGAACAGGGGTGAGGAGTTATTTTAACTGGCATGTTGCTTAATGAGTTGTGGTGAGCTGTCAAAGGCTGCAGCGGTGGCCCTGACTCTTGACAGGTTCCTTGTCCCCTGGAAGTCAGCTGGCTCTATTGTGCAGGACTTCCCCTGGTGGTGCATGAGTGCTGAGAGCTGTACACGTGCTGCAGGCAGCACTGCATGATAGAGGTGGGGTGGCCTGGCTGTGCTCCTTGCTGCCATGTGCAGTGCTGGCCAGAGCCACGTGCTGCTAGGTGGCTGCACCTGCTCAGGCCATGAGCATCCTGAACATCTGCTGCCTGTTGCTGCTGCTGCCGCTGGCAACAAGGGCTGTACGCCATGGAGGTATGCCCCACACCCTTCCTCACACCCACATCCTGCCCAGCTAAGGTCCACGCTCCTGATGCCTCCCTGGGCATGGGCTCTGTGCTCCCACCAGTTCCATGCTCCCATCCAGCTGCAGCTCCCTCCCCCCCTGCCTCCACCCTTGTCACTTCACACCTGCTGCCCAAAGTGAGTGCTACATCAGAGAGATGAGGAGGAGCCACTGGATGCCAGGGAAGCTGAGCAGGTCCCCTGACAGCTGCAACAGCAGCAGCAGCAGCTCTGCCCAGAACCTATGTGCTGGCTGGGCTGGGCCTTTCCATGCACGAGGGTGGGAGTAAGGCATGTGGGCTGGGAAGGGTACAATTAGTTGGTGGGCACCCGCAGGCTGTATGAAATTGCTTGGCAGACTGAATCCAGCCCACAGGCCATATTTTCTTGCCCCGATTCAGAACATAAAAAAGGTTACCAGAGGCAAACTTGGTTTAAGAACAAAGCCTTGAAGTAATGTAAGTTCATAATTAATGCACAATTAATTTGATTTTAAAACTAATTAATATATTTATGTAATTTTCACATTACTTTTTGCTGAACTTTCAGGTAAAGATACTTTTATTTATTTCACAAAACAAAGATTGATTTTATGATTTAATTGTAAAACAGAACTCACCCTCAGCTATAGAATTACAGCCAGCACATCCATGGCATCTTATGTTCCATGTCCTGCTATCCTTGAGGTTGCATTTGAAGTCTTACATAAAAAGAGTAGGAGTTGGCCTTATACATAAAAGTCATTTGGAGTTCATTTATGGTCTCTAGAAATAATATTTTTTACTACTTAAGTAAAATCTTATTGTTTTATAGCATTTGCTAATTAAATATATTTGATATTTGTTTTTAACAAAAATGTTCAACCCCTTGCTACAACAGGCAATAGCAGCAGCTGCAATTGAAATAACAGATTTCAGTGGTGAAGGTAGGATTGGTAGACTTTCTGAGAGTTCTTCAGAAGCATCAAAATTGAGCTCAAAGAGTGCTAAAGAAAGGAGAAATCGAAGGAAGAAAAGACGACAGAGAGAGCTGTCTGCAGGAGAGGACCAAGTCAAGGATGGAAAGCTTCCAAAATCTGAATCAGATGGCAGTATCAGAAGAAAAGGTTTCCATTTCTCATTAGATGGGAACAAGCTCACGTATGAAAAGCATTTGACTTCACCCCATCAGGTAGCGTTCTGGGTAGTGAAAATGATATTTTTAGCATCATGGTTTGACATAGAAATTATGGTAATATTCACCAATTGTTTTGTGATTTTGCTTAATATTGCAAAAGAAGACAGCTGAAGGCAAGAATTTGCTTTTGTTACTTAAGTAAATTGCAGCATTCACTAAAATAATCTGAATTAAACAGTAATTTAGTATCTATATTATAAATACGGGTAATCATTGCCACTAAAGTTAGCATTACCACAGATAAAAATCTTTCTGCCTCTGCCTTCAGCTGTCTGAAGAGGATAGTTCAGGAATCATTCTTTCTTGCACTTCTCAGGTCTGTCTGGTACGTAGATGATGCAAGTTATGATACGTGCCAATAGTATGTTCCAGTTATCAATGCTTTCTTGTATATTCAACCAAAAAGTCCTTATGTAAGCTAAACACATTATAATATGTATAGAATGTGCAGAAATCTTACATTACTAAATAGAAAAAGTAACATTAAAAGTATTGCCATAGAAAACTTAGTCACCCCAAAAATAATGATTTCTGATGATCATGAATATGTTCTATGTGTGTATTTCCCAAGCTTAAATTTTTTGTCTATGAAAACATCTTGTGTGAGAAACATTTCTAAGTCATGGTTTTATTGAGACAAATGCTATGTACTTAAAGATAATGTATATTTTCAGCTAATAATATTATTTATATCTTTCTGCAGTCTTTGCTGAGCATTCGTGGTTCCATTTTTTCTCCAAGGCGCAACAGCAGAACAAGTCTGTTCAGTTTCAGAGGTCAGGGAAAGGATATAGGATCAGAAAATGACTTTGCTGATGATGAGCATAGCACTTTTGAAGATAATGAAAGTAGAAGAGGTTCTCTCTTTGTGCCATGCAGGCATGGTGAACGGCGCAACAGTAACATTAGTCAGGCCAGTAGGTCATCAAGGAGGTTACCGATGCTTTCAGTGAATGGGAAGATGAACTGCACTGTGGATTGCAATGGTGTGGTTTCCTTGGCTGATCGACAACCTTCTCTTTTGTCACCTGCTGGACAACTTCTGCCAGAGGTGATAATAGATAAACCAACTACTGATGACAATGTAAGGAATTTTTAAATAGTACAGGCATAATGGCCTTTGTTCCTGCACCTGCCTGTGTTTCTATGGAATGGAGCCCCTTGAGAATGGTTGACCAAGCTGTGAATGTTTCTGCATCTTGCAGTACCTTTTAATATAATCAAATAGATTTTCTAGAAAAATATGATAATGTATAATGCTATTATATTTACTTGCAAGCACACTGAACTAACAGGCTGAAATACAAAAAATACTGAACATGCAGTATATGACCATTTGCTACTTACCTGTGCAGTAGGGATATGCACAGACCTGTATACTTAGTTCTATGAATCATGTACTCTTCTTAAATGTGCTTCTCATTTGGCTTCCTAAGTAGTCTATATACCTTTTCCTTCTCCTTTTGATATTATTTCAATTTACTGCTTTCATCCAGAAGCCTACACTGTCTCCATTTGCTGACTGTCTTCTACCAGCCTATTGCTTTGTTTTCCCCTTCCTCATGTCTATACACAGATTTATTTGTGTGTATATGTGGAGGCTACCTTGCAAGTCTTTAGGCATCTCTTAAGAGTTCCTGAAGTTTTAGCAAACCTATTTTGTTCTTGGACATAGTCAGAGGTTTCACTGCCTAGAAGCATTTCAGAATATGTTAATATACACTTCATGTTCACCCCCAATGTTGATGTCTACTTTTTGTAAAGTAGAAAGGCAGTGAACAAAGGAACATGTTATACATGTTCAAAAGAAGCGAGAGAAAACTCTGTGGGCATGGCCAGTGGTAGGGGGTGCATGTGCAGCCCCTGAGAGGACTGGTGCACCTCCTCACAGGCAGTGCTCTTCACTTAGGCGATGGGCAGGGGGGGCAGGCAGGAGTGCCAGTGCCCTCCCTGTCAGCTTCAGTTGGGGAGTGGGGGCACCAGGTGAAACACCGCTGGCACTTCCGGGAGCACCACTCATGCTTCCTGGTCGGTGTGATGAGCCACAGGGGGACCCTGCCTCCCCCAGTTGGCATGATGGGCCACAGGGGGGCATGTGCCCCCCCCCCCCCCCGACTCAGGTAGCACTAGTCGTCCATCAGCGTGGCTATACATGCATTTATTTTACTGTGCAGTAAGCGGGAAGAGTCCGGCATCTACACGTGCAAGTGTTAAAGCTCATTAACGCTGTGTGTGGTCTAACTTGGGAGTAAAGTTAGCCCCAAGTCAGTCCACACACACAGTGTTACTGCTCAGTATGGTGTCTATACATGCGTTACTATGCAGTAAGTAATCAGGTGTAAATTTGATACCTGCATGATGCAGGTATCAAATTTACATTTATGGCATTGTAAGTCACCATATTTACTGTGCAGTATGGGCATGAACATGTAGACGTGTGACCGTACTGCACAGTAATTTTGGTTACTGCACAGTAAATGTGCGTATATAGCCGCACCCAGTGTGTAGCAGCAGCACCATGTTACTCATTTTTCTGTAGCACTATCACCATCTTGTAAAAACCAGGTGGGAAAAGTTAATAAGGCAGTAAAAGCCCCCCCAAAAGAAGAAGGTTGTGAGCTATGCGTGTGTTGTAAGTGAAGAGAATTAAGATTATGATTAGTTAGGAGCACCTAAAGATGAACTCTAACAGAAACTCCATCCCACACACCAGAATCTGTGCATATTCTTATGAACCACCTGAGCTACATACTGAAGCAGATAAAGTTGGGAAAATCTGTTCTCCCTTTCAGATCTGATTTCAAATAATTACAAAACAATAAACCACACCTGCAATTAATGTATTTCCAAAAAATTCTGAAAATTTGATATGAGCTTAAGATTGAATATTTTAAATGTAACATGCTCATTCAGTAAACCAGACTTCAAGATTATCAGTCGCATGATATTTTTGTTCTCCTCTCCTGGTTTTTACAGATTTATTTATTTTTAGTTAAGAAATGTATAAATGTACTTGGACACCCCAAGGTGTCTCCCTTCATACGTAGGTACAGGGTATGATTGAAGGTACAGGTATAACTTTAGACTGATAATTTCAAGGTATTGCTCCCCTATTTAGATAGGCATTGGCAAACTTTAGTTCAATTAAGTCAGACTTTTCTATTCTTAATTGAATCTGAGTGTATATATAAAAGTAAATCAGAGATATCAGATAGTCATTGTAAAGAGCATCTCATAAATAAAATTAGTCACAAATTGAAAGAGAGATACAGACTGGCCTTTTCAAATTGCACTTACATGAAAATAATTGTTGCGAGTTACAAGTTTATTCACAGTAATTATAATTTGCTGAATATATTTTGCATTTGAACTAATCTGGAATTGTAGGTATGATAGGAAAGTGTGACCTAATGCACAATACATAGTAGAAGGAGCCAGGAACTCTTGATTGATTTCTGATTCTACTTATACCACTGGCATGCTTTGTTACACTGGTTTCCTTGCTTAAATTCTGTCTCTTCCAATGTTTTCCATTTGTGTGACAGAATTAATAATATTTACCTGTTTCACATTTGTAATCTGAAAATTATAAAGCTAACATTTATGTAGCACTTAATATTCTTCAGATATTTTCATTAGAGTTTTTTGCAAGTGCCAGGTTCATATTACAGCGGAGAAGTCTGACCTAATAGAGTGCATAAGCATGAAGCTGCATGTAGCATGAATTCTTTGAAACTTAAAGATTTACAAGAGAAACTTTGTGATATCTGCTTACAGTCTAGGGACAGATATTCAAAAAGCTTGAGCCTGAATTGATTCAATCTTCCCCGGTTAGTTTAACTTGCAGAGATTGAACCGATTTGCAAATGGATAGACATTCACTTTTAATTCTAGAAATTCAGGCACATACTTGCAATGGCCCAGGTATGCTAACCTCCAATGTTGGCCCAGGTATGGCGAGGGGGCACTAGAGCACATTCTCCTTTCCCTTCCACAGGGAAGCTATGCTGGGGGGGCAGGCCTGAGTGTAACTGAGGAGGGGTTTAAACCCCCACCATGGCCTTCAGAGTTCCGGAGGGTGGGGGAAGAGGGAGCATGGCCAGACAGCAACATGGCCAGACCCCCGTGGTGGGGAAGGAGGAGGAGAATGAGAGCTCTGCTTGCTGGAGCGGCTCCCTGACAGCCAGGAACAATCCAGGCACACAGCTCTTCTGCCTGGCCTCGGAGGGGGACTCTTCCCCCTCTTGCTTCTCCCTTTTCCCCACCACCACAGGGCAGGGAGCAGGGCTTTGTACAGTGCTGCCTGGCCCCAGAGGGGGACTCTTCACCTTCATCCTCCCCACTCCCCACCACCACTGCTGCAGGGTGGGAAGGGAAGCTCTGTGTGGTGCTGTCCAGCTCCTGAGGGGGGACTCTTCCCCCTCCCACACCTCCCCCCCTAGCTGCAGGATGGGGGGGGCTCTGTGCAGCACTGCCAGCTCTGGAGCGGGGCTCTTCCTGCTTCTCCTCCTTCCCTGCTATGGGGTGGGGAGGGGAGTTTGTGCACTGCTGGAGGGGGATTTTCCCCCCTCCCCCACCCCCCTTCTGCTGCCACTGTGGGGTGGGAATGGGGGCTCTCTGTGGTGCTGCCCAGCACAGGCCAGCCTGAGTGCAGGGTGTGGCTGTCACTGAGCCGCAGCCACTGGGGTTGGTTCTGTCCCCATGGCCCAGGCTGGGCCTGCCCAACCCCAGCCAAGCCAGCCACATGGCTGTGCTGGCCCACTGGTGTGGGGCCTTCTCCACCAGCTGTAGCTCAGTGACAGGGAAGCTGAGCCCTGTCAGTGAGAACAGCGTGGCCTGGCACACACGGGTGATGGTTGACTGGGTAGTGGCTACTCGGGCCAGCTCAGAGTTGCTGCAAGGGCTCATGTGGGCAGGGAGGAGTTTTATTCCTCCCTGCATCCCTTCTGCACCTGGGGACCGCAGCTGGGGTCTGCCAGCCCCAGCTGCTCCCTCTGCTGCTCAAGGCAGACAGGCAGACCCCAGCTGCGGGGGGAGGGGGGGGAGGGAAGAGGGAAGAATTAACCTTCTCTCTGCCCACTTTGCCTTAACAGGGCCATATTTGAATGTGTTTGGCCATGATCCCACCTTTGCTCAGGCTAAAGAGCAGAGGGGTGGGGCTAGCCTTGCTCTCTGGAGTGGACAGCACAGCCCAGCCCAGGGCTGCAGGGCATGCTGGGATGCTGAAGGACTTTGGTTTAACTTAAACCAGGAAGGGGTCTGGAACAGAAGTTGCATAAACCGGTTTGACTCAAATCAGTTAAGTCTGATATTACATTCAACCAGGTTTATCTTAAACCAGTTTTGGCCACTTTGAAACTGGTGTGTGTGCACTGAACTTATTATGTTCTCTTAAAGGTTTAAACCGATTTCTGATCACTTAAGCCAGTTTTTTTATAACTTCTGTCCCTAGCGACAATGTTTATGAAGTTTAATTCATCCATATATTATTTTCAGAGCACTACTACAGAAATAGAAATAAGAAGGAGGCGGTCTAGTTCCTATCAAGTATCGATGGATTTGCTGGAAGACCCTACTGTAAGACAAAGAGCAATGAGTATAGCCAGCATACTCACAAATACAATGGAAGGTATGTAACAATTATTTTGTTACAAATGAACAAATACAAGTGAATTATTTTGTTTAATTTCAGACTCACTTGAGCTTGTAGCTCACATGAGAGAATGCATGTAGAGAAAAAACAAGCAGTGTAAAAAATAAAACAAAAGATAGCGTAGGAAGTGAATATTGTGAAAACTGGGTAGAGGAAAACTAATAAGAGAAATGAGGAGATAGAAAATTTCTAATTTGGAAATGGTTCAAGAGTATCAGTTCTATGTTGTTCAGACCCTTCTGACAATCTTGTTAGTGGGAAGTGTCTATCCTAGTTATATAACAGAAACTTAATGTTAACTAGAAAACATTTATATGTATTAATTCAGTGTATTCTTGAAAGTAGAAGGCATGGATTTAGCCAGTGAGAAGCAATTGTAAGTTAAATGTAATGCTGTCCAAAATACCTTTACATAAATACCTATCCTGTGAAGTGAATGTGCCCTTTATTTTTTACACAAGGTGTTTTTTAGGTTTCTGATTGATTACAGTGTTGATGTCATTCTTGTTATAATTTAGGTCCAAGAATCAAAGTACCTTTGAAAATAAGGTAATCAAGTAATAAAATAGAAATAAAAATAAAATGAAACCTTTTTCAAGATAAAATATTGTTACCATGTTTTCTTCATCTTCCTATACTTTTCTTGCATTTTAGCACTATGTTCACCTGCACAAATATACCGCCATACTCAAAATGTAACGTGAATCCCATAATTTGCTATTTAGGACCCTGGTGCATGGGACATTTAACAAGTGTTTTATTTAGAACATAGTAAGCATTACCATGTTGCATTAGAAGTTAGAATGTGTTTTGAGCAGTTGCACGCTATTGCTTACTAAGATCTTAGCCTACCCTGGAAAGGGCTGGAGTCAGCTGTTACTCACCGTCCCTTCTCCCCACATCCCCCCACCGGCACTGAATAGAGCTGGTTCCTTGTCCCTGCATCACACTAGAGCTGGTTCTAGACTTCTTTGTGGTGCAGGGTTGAGACTGATAGTCAGATGATCCATCCCAGCCCTAGTTTTACACTGGAGCTAGTTTAAAACTCTGGTATGGTGCTGGGCCCAGGACTGATAATCACCTGATTGTCAGTACCAGCACCCACACTGCACCAGGACCAGTTCAAGACTCTGGTGTGGGGGTAGAATTGACAATCAGTTGATTGTGGTGCCAGCCAACCCCCCAATGCACTGGAGTTTTGAACTCGTTTATCTCTGGAGAGCAGTCCAGCGGTGGTTGATCATGTGTTACTTAAGATAACCTGGAGGTACTCCTCCCATGAAAAGTTGGTAATTTTGTTACAATATGATTATACTTAGCATGTGTTTTACTGCTTCAATGTGTAGACATTAAATTTTAAGTGCAGCTCACATATCCTACCTGTAACATATGATATGGTCTTTAGACCAACTGTCACTGTCTTTTATTTCCCAGTACTTCAACATGCAATATTGCTACTTATGCTACTTATATCACTGCTTCTCTGTCACTCATATGTTTAACTGATAAGAATCACTTTTCCCATGAAAAGTGTTCAAGACTTAAAAATATTTATACACCTTGACAGTTTTCAGTGGAAGTTCTCCACTTTTCAACTTTAGAGATTTAAAATAAAAGCAAAATAAATAAATGTTTTTTTCAGTTTGTCGTTACATTTTTTTTTTTGTACTCCAGAACTTGAGGAATCCAGGCAAAAATGCCCACCCTGCTGGTATAAATTTGCCAACACTTTCTTGATTTGGGACTGCTGGGAACCTTGGTTAAATGTAAAGCACATTGTTAATATTATTGTCATGGATCCATTTGTTGATCTTGCTATTACCATCTGCATCATTTTAAACACACTCTTTATGGCCATGGAACATTATCCAATGACCAAACAATTTCATGATGTGCTTGTAGTGGGAAACCTGGTAAGTCTATCTTATTATGTGTCAGATATGTGAATACTATTTCTCTAAAAAATTTTTTTTATTTTACTGTTCTGCAAAACATTTTAAATTATAGTATTACTTTGAAAAAATATTACAAAAAGTAGCATTTTGAGATTTAACTTGCAAGATGCTCATTTCTTACCCCCATATATCTGTGTCACTGGAAGTATTTAGATTTCTCATAAAAGACAGTTTCTCTGCCCCTGCATAGGCTTTCACGAAGTGCCAGGATAGATCACTTAGGAAGAAAAGGAATCTAGAACTATGTACAGTAAAAGATTTATCTGGTACCCATGGGGAATGAGGGGTGCCAATTAATAAAATATGTGGATTGAGAAGCCCAAGCAGGCGTTTTTGCCACTGCTTCTCCTGCCACATCCAGGGCATAACTGCCCCTCCCACTGCATCACAGACCCAGTTAATAGAGCATGCCAGCTTGTAAGGTGCCAGTTAAGGCAGTTTTTACTGTATATGACTAATTTGAAGAAGATCAAACCAGCCATTCAAATCATTTCAAGCAATCCTAGGTTCTTTACATGACTAAATGTCAAAATGAACAAGGAATAAGCCATTCTAACTAAGGAAAGAGTTCAAAGTGGAAATGTTAGACTCCAAATTCACAGGAAGAATTCCAAACAGTAACAGATATCATCAATCAAGTTTTAGCCCACCCAAAAACACCAGAGAAGGTGCGTCTCAGATTTGCTGGACATGAGGCCCCATCACATGCATTATAGCTTGACATATTTAATCTATGCAGATGTGTGGTTGAATGGCGTGTTTAACCAGCATGGATATTATGCTTATTTTCCCAAACTAAGTCTTGTTATTCTGATGGAAGAAACTTCTTCAGGCAGACACTTCTTCAAAACCTCTACTGACCAGAACTTTGGTGACCAACATGATCAGATCACCAAATCATTAGATGCAGGGGTAGCAGTGGACATAGTCTTCCTGGACTTTCGGAAGGCCTTCGACACTGTCTCTCACCCTGTTCTCATTAAGAAACTGGGGGACTGTGGTGTCGACACCCACACAGTCAATTGGGTTGCCAACTGGCTGGAGGGCCGCACCCAGAGAGTGGTGGAGGATGGGTCATTTTCGACCTGGAGGGATGCGGGCAGTGGGGTTCTGCAGGGCTCGGTCCTCGGGCCCACACTGTTCAACATCTTCATCAGTGACTTGGACGAGGGGGTAAAAAGCACCCTGTTCAAGTTTGCTGATGACACTAAGATGTGGGGGGATGTAGGCACGCTAGAAGGGAACAATAGGTTACAGTCGGACCTAGACAGGTTACAAGGGTGGGCGGATGAGAACAGGATGGGATTCAACACTGACAAGTGCAAAGTGATGCACCTGGGGAGGAACAACTGGCACCATACCTACAGGTTGGAGAACTCCCTTCTTGTCAGTACTGAGGCAGAAAAGGATCTTGGAGTCATCATTGACTCCAAGATGAACATGGGCC